AATCGACGACAAAATTGCTCAGTGTGAACCAGGCTTTAGACTTTTAGAGTCCTTTATCTTGTTAGCGGCCAGACACATTTACAAAACCATATAGTTACATCAGTGAATATAAAAGACATGTTTCTATATATAATGTTTTGTAATCAGTAACAACGGAAGATAAAGGACTTTAAAGCCAATGTCTCAAACACGAAGTACTTCCCGGAAGAGTGTATTGAAGTTTAGTTACGCAAAAATCATTCATATTAAATTTTTACTGTGTTAACATCAGGTCGCCAAAGTTTACAAGCAACGAAAGAACACCAGAGCTCGCAAAGAACGAAGAAATAATAGATTGCATATGCAAGAGGTACGTTACTTGTTATATAGCCTGAGTATCAGGTTCTCTACATAGGCCAAAAAATTAATGAACTAGAAGTTGCAATCTAAATTCGCCCCCTCCAAAAAATATATTCCCGAAGTGTCCACCACTGAAAATGTTGTACAGTCGTCCACAATAAAAATATTCTACATGCAGTCGTCCGCCGAGATTGCAAACATGCGGCAACTGAGGTAAGGGCTTGCAATTCAACTTCATATATTGCACTGATTTTAATCATTTACAGGAATTCCAAAGCAACTAAATTGGCTTGTTATGCGCTTCAAATGTCTTAGCAGTACGTCATTTAGTAGTTCGAATTATTGCTGCGAGGGGCATACTACTCGATTCCTACATTTACCAACCTCTAAGCGCTAGCTGGCGTTAAAAGACAAAGAAAGTCGGCGTAGTTTACGACTACACAGACAAGTTTAGGCGATTTCGCGCGCCATCTTACCTTCCTTCCCTTATTTCAAGCAGGGTTAGGCCTGTCGCGGGCAAAGACTCTCCACACTACACTACAGATAGTTACACATTGTGTGCTAACAGCTGATGACCTAGCAGCGCATGCACGCAATGCACACCTCACAGCGGCACCAATTTAACTTCCGAATCACGCATGGTTCCCTGCTTGCTATTAACTTCGGTTAATATATAACCTCGTGAAATAAGCGCGCGCGGTATGTATTTTGGTGAAATGAAATTTTTTCATGTGATATTATATGCAACTTTATTAGGCCGCGCTTTTTTTGTTGTATTACGGATATCCTGACCTTGCATGTATTTTTAAAAAGCAGAAAAAATATAAATGCCACTTATCAGTTTTGATGCATTGTTTTTTCATCCGACCATATTTTAGAAAGGCTAAACCTTCAACACGCAATTTTCACGCATCGTCACGTCACGTGCACGTGAAACATGGCCGAAGGACGGAAGAAGGCGATGTTTACTTCGCTGTACTTTTTGACTTTGGATGTATATGCCCCTGTGCATGTGCATGGTATTAGATATTAGGCAATCCTTTCTTTTTTTATATATTTTTTGCCTTCCCGCCCTTGCAAAATTCGTAATCCAACAAAAAAAAGCGTGGCCTTACTTTCAAACTGCAAATCGGTACCACCCCAACTGCAAAATGATATCGCTTTAATAATTAGTAAAATTTCAGTTACCTTAAAATATCCTTGTCTATAGATTTGAAGACTGGATGCCAAAGGTAGGACGAATAGACGATCGTAACAACACATTACTTGTGATAAAATGTGTGCACGAAATGCAAGAAGAAAGTGTTATGAAATTAATTGCCTCCCATTGGGATGATCATGGTGAAGAAGTTTGTTTAGACGGTTTAAATATTGCGCCAGCAGAATCTACAGCTTTGGTCGAATTTATAAGTCACATAACGAACTTGCACAAGCTTAAGATGACTAATTGTATGATGGAGCATTTGGCTTTTCGTGAATTTATCAAGTTACTGATGAAAGAGAATGAAAACTGCCAACTTACTGAGTTACTCCTAAATAAGAATAAATTAACAGATGAAGATGCTAAATCTTTGAGTAATGCTCTGATTAGTGACAAGTGCAAACTTACTGAATTAGACATAAGGTTCAATAATTTAACACATGAAGGTGCTAAACATTTAAGTGATGCTCTGATAAGTGAAAAATGCAAACTTACTGAATTAAATATAGAAGGCAATAATTTAAAAGATCAAGGTGCTAAATGTTTGAGTATTGCTCTGATGAGTGACAAGTGCAAACTTACTGGATTGGATATAGGAAGGAATGATTTAACAGATGAAGGTGTTGAACATTTATGTGTTGCTCTGATGAGTGACAAGTGCGAGCTTACTGAATTAAATATAAGAGCCAATAATTTAACAAATGCAAGCCCTAAACATCTAAGTGATGCTCTGATGAGTGACAAGTGCAAACTTACTAAATTAGACATAAGCTACAATAATTTAACAGGTAAATGTGCTATAAAACCTCTAAGCACAGCTCTAAGTGATGCTCTGATGAGTGACAACTGCAAACTTACCAAATTATACATAAACCACAATAATTTAACAGATGAATATGCTAAACATTTAAGTGATGCTCTAATGAGTGACAATTGCAAACTTATTAAATTAGACATAAGCTACAATAATTTAACAGATACGGGTGCTAAATATTTAAGTGAAGCTCTGATGAATGACAAGTGCAAACTTACTGAATTAGATATAAAGGGCAATAATTTACGTGCTAAACGTGATGCCGTACACAGCAATCTTCGTAAATTTAACTCATGGTCGGCACTAAATTAATACTGCTCTGAAGTGTGACAACTGTGCAGTTACTGAATTAAACTAGAATATGAACTAAAAACACGACTGTATTTAGAGTTTTATAGCGGAAATTTATTTGAGTTATATTGATTGTTTATAAAACGTAAAAAAATAGAAATTGAAAACATGGTTGTATTTAGTGTTGCATAGTAAAGGTTTGAGCAAATGAAATGCTGAATTAAATGACCGATTTAAACATGGTTGTATTTAGAGTTGCATAGTAGAGGTCTGAATAAATGAAATGTTGGACTAAATGATATTGAGACATGGTTGTATTTAGTGTTGCATATAGTAGTACAGGTTTCAGCAAATGAAATGTTTGATTTTGTGTCATTGAAAACATGGTTGTATTTATAGTGTTGCATAGCAGAGGTCTGAATAAAAGAACGGTGGATTAAATGACTTTGAAACAAGGTTGTATTTAGAGTTGCGTAGTAAAGGTTTGGCTAAAAGAAATGTTGGATTATATGTCATTGAAATATGGTTGTATTTAGAGTTGCAGTTAATCAGAAGTTTGAATATTTGGTTATAGACGTAGGAAAATATGAACTCGAAACATTGTTGTATTTAGAGTTGTAAGTTAGGAGTTTGAGCCGGGGACGTCGGAAGTTATTGTACATGGGGGCGACCAGAGTGCCAAAGAGACCACCCAACTAGCGGGTCTATAAGGTTTGCCCTCCCCATGGAGGAAATTTTGAAATCTAGACCCACTCAAATGGCATTTTCATGCAGCCATTTTTGCGTGCCGTTTAGCGAAGCAGCAGACGGGCAACAAAGGAATAATACTGGATTGCACTCAAAATTTACAATTTTACAAGATTCTTTACTCCGAAATGCAACAGAAAATGCAATTAAATTTCAGTATTGAATTGTATGATTTTATAATAAAATGACTATAGCCGACTGTTTCAAATACTTCAAAATAATATACTAACGGTGAATTCAAATATTTTTTGGCAGGCCAAAACCTATTCCAACCCCACCTTGTTAACAAGGGGCGGGGCCTAGCCCCATCCTTCCGCTTCCTACGTCCCTGGTTTGAGTAATTGTATTGAATGAACTATGAACTGAAAACATGGTTGTATTTAGAGTTGTAAATTAGAAGTTTGAGTTAATGGATCATGTGGGAAAATATATTTTTCCAAGAAACTACGATTGAAAATAAATAAAATATGACTGATTGCATAAATAATTGCATAGTTTTTCTATTGCTAATGCAGAGCCTCAAATATAGATCTTAAACCGTTCACTTGACAAATTCTAAAATCTAAACTAGTAAAGCTACTGTACAAGGCTGTCTGTCTCACAAGTAGTCTACATCGCTATTATAACGAGTGAATTTGTGAATTCAGTCGATACAATTATTCCTCCTTGAGTTATGGAGTTTTAAACGTTTCGCTGACGTCAGCGTTATATTTTCAAAGGGCCGGTGTTAAAACTACGTTGCACATTTGTCAAACAATTTAATTTTAAAATGCCAACTAGCAATTGGTTAGGATTATTAGAAGTGATCGTATAGATCGAAATATTTGGGTTAAAATTCATGTATATTTTAAGTACTTTTTTTCAGCCGTGTCCAGAATTGCGTCCAAATGTCTGACCAAATTTGAAAGTTTGGTCGGGCTTTTCCGGACAATTTCGATCATTAGTTCAGGCTCTGCATTCTGCAACACATTTTTTACAAAACTCATGCGTATTTGCACTGATAGTTATTGAGCTTTTTCACGGTAATTCATAATATATGGAAATGTTCAATTGGTTATGAACTTTGAAATATGTCTTACTTGTATTTAAATTTGCGCAGTATCGGAATTCGCACAGACCGTAGTTGCGCGAAATTAAAAATCACCGAAAAATTTAACCGAGCGAAACGGTTTGCTGTTGTTTATATATATGCACGAAAAGTAATCTGCGTGTAAATGTTTGCCAGCGTAACACCAAATTCTGAAAATTAGACAAGAAAATGATGTGTACTAACTATTAGGCATTAGATTCTTTTTTACAGCTACATCAAGAAACTGTAATTTACAAGTGCAATTTTCTATTTTTGAATCGTTTCAAGTTGCGCAAAATAAAAGCTGTGATAAAATGTCGCATTTCTCGGGTGCGCAGAATTGTATCGGATGAGTTGAGACTGAGCGAAAATTTGTATCACGCAAATTTAAATACAAGTAATTAGGTAATTAGGTATAATTACACCTTATCATGTAAATGTTTTACTACAAGTCCGGGGCGCTTGTTCGAAAATGCATTAGCTCTAACCCTGGGTTAATATTTAACTCCTCATTTTGGTTTGTGCACATCTGCAAATCCGTTTTTTCAGAAAACATTTGTTGATCCAGATATTACCTTTACTTCATAAACAAGCTGTTAGGAGGACTGCTCACCTAAAATTGAAGTATTTCGTTAACCTAGGATAACGCTGATTTTCGACCGACCGACCCCAAATTTATATATAGGGCGTAATGGTTTCTGTATAGTAAACTCCTATATACCACTTTATTATCTAAATATATATAATGTTTTATTACCATTGATGTAATTGCGACCGAATTGAATTCAACTGAAATTATATTTGTGTTAAAATGTTTCATTGTGAAATTCAAAGTGTGAAGTGTAAAAAAAACAGTGTCAAAATTTCTTTCGACAAAGTACTATAATCATATCCCAAGACTGGTTTTACTAACAAACAAAATCTCCTTGAACAAAGTCCAGTCAGACCAAACTGTGCATGTTAAGTGTAATCCTATTTTAAGACTGATCTATATCATTTGAGTACAGTTTGGTCAAAGACAGGTGTGGGAATCGTCAGGCTGCATGCATGGTATCGGATGTTATCAATGTTTCTTTCCACAAAGCACTGTTTGATCATGGTGGATGAAGTGAACCCTATTTTAAGGCTGGTTTAGGCCCTACTGAAGTTCCATCAGTCAATGTATACTTTGGTCAAAGACAAAGTGCATGTCAACGTATTAAGACCTTGCATGACTGAAGTTCTTACGTTAAAGTTTGATTACAAAACGTATCGCTATTTTTCACCAGAGAATGGACTGAACATTTACCAGGTTCAATGCCAGTCTAGATCTAGGGCCTTCTACATAAATTTCTCGTGAGAGGACTGGAACCTAGCTAGGCAATTTGAGGACGGAGCGAAGGAAGGCGGCGAGTAATAGAAGCTGCCCACGGCATAGATGCTTTACACGAGTATAGATGTTTTACATGGCATCCCGTCTCCTGACGTCATTGAAGTCAATTAACCTGCAATTCAAGTGTCGCCTACTGAATAAAGGCCAATCTCGTAAGCTGGTTCCATGCTTTATTTTTTTCAATAAGCATTACAGGCTACAGTGATGCATTCAAAACTCCTCAAGTGATCCTAGTAACGTTTGCGAAGAAACAACCAGGACAGCACAGAAACAGATTGGCTGAGGTACAGTATGGTACAGATATAGCAGTGTTGGTCACACAGTACATGGTTAGTGCACAGTGGCGGAAATCTTGGTGGGGCGGGAGGACCTTCATGGAAAATTGACGAATTTTCGGAAATTTTGACCTAAAAAGAGGGCTAAAAACAGTCTTTTCGAGTGCAAATGGGGGGTATGTTGGAAATTTGAAAGTTTTGTCGGAAATTTAGGAGGCTTTGCCCCCCGCCCCCGGAAAAAGTGAATTTCCGCCACTGTGTTTAACCACCCCACCTAGAAATAATTTCACCCCACGCCTCCAGAAATCTTAATGCTCTTTGAATTAAATGACTCTAGTATAATTGAAATAAGGATTTTGAACTAAATAATACCAAACATCTCAAAATTTCCTGGGGTCTTCGGCGCTTCGCCCCATTACCCCCAACCCTGTCTCCACTAGTGACTGTGCCCACAGACCTTTGCTGTAGCTTGTTCATGCGCGCTCCCTGAATTTTCACCACCTCTAGAGTAAAATCTGAAAATCCGTCTATGCATGGTGTGTCTTAAAACGCTTAGAAACACTTCGTCATCTCGTTGCAGCGTCTAACATTCCCACTGCAACACGCCTCGCAATATTCTGGACGTGACAGATCAGAAAGAAATTATATTGCATATCAAAACAAGACATATAATCGCAATGCAGCTGGGAAAAGCATTCGTCTGACAACTCACTGCAAGCTGTAAAATTACATTTAAAAAAGAAATAGTTTCAGTGCAAGTTGCACGGAATATTGGCTCGCATAACATTACCTTCAAGAGTCATTGTCAACAACAATGCATTGTGCGCCCAAATCTGCTTGGCGGCCATTTTAATGGCGGAATAATAGATGTTTCGGTTTTCAATCCATAATATATTACTACCATGCTGTGGTTATACTTGCTCATTTTAACTTTTTTATACTAAATTTGCACCAAAGTAATGTTTATAATCGTCATTTGTTGCTATTTGTCACTTCCGAAGGTAAGATGTAAACAAATGCATTGTGGTTAACAATGACTCTTTAACCAATATTAATGGTACTTTCCCATAAACTAAGGAGGCGTAGGGAGCTATTTTCACCTCGCAATATCTTTGCGACTTGATGTTATTACATTATTATTCAGCTCACTCCCCATTTGGGCTTTTCAGTGGCGGATTACATCAAGTATTACGCTCATATTACTTAATACTTAGCCTAGACTATTTATCTTTACAACAATTGATATATTACTTTCCCAACTGTGTTTATCCTAACGGACCCCGCCAACTTGCTCTATGGGAGGAAACCGAAGCACCAGAAGAAAACCCACGACTTTCGGCAGAGCGTTGACAGACTCTTTTCACATGAGTCCGTAGCGCGTAACGAACCCACGATCTCAGAGGTGAAAGGCGCTTGCTCTGCGCCACCGAATACTATCACTGATGCTTTCAAACTAAAACCCATTTTTATTTGGCTAATACAATATATTAGCGTAGAAAAGTTAACGATTAATTGTTTTTCAAATTGGTTTTTGTTTAGTTTGTTTCAAAAGTTTCAAAAACCTGTGGCTATGGGGATAAAAGAGGACAAAAATCACGATAGTCTTACTTTTGATGCTTCTTTTATAGAGGATGCAATCTCTTGTCTCACCGAGGATGCAATCTCCTAAGGTTGAAGCAAACAGAAATTTCATTTTTTTCTCATTTTAGAAGTGCCTAATATCGTTCTTTAAAGCGTGACTATGAAGCATGGTTGTTAGAGATGGTTTGTATCCTCATGCACAACCACAGTATGGAGGAGTTTGGCGCTGTGTATGTGTGCAGTATCCCAGTGTTTAACTATACAGTAAGTGCATTATCACCTTTGCTGCTTCTCTGATGGAAGATGCGATATCCTAAAAGTAGAGAAAATATTAGAAACATACATTTTTACTATATTTATATGTATAGGTTATCATATAAGGGATGAGATGATATCAGTTTTATCGCTCGAGGGACGATATCACAATTGTCACGAGCGAGCGCAGCAAGCGAAGGACAAATTTATTGTGATATCGTCCCGAGAGCAATAAAACTGATATCACCGAATCCCGAGTACGATAACCTATTTATTAATACTTGTACCTATACTTGTACCTTTATATCAGGGTTAGAAACCCAAAAGTAGTAGTTTTGAACCTCGAGTCGGCCATCTTTGTTTCAAATGACAAGGTGCGAAATTTAGCGGGACAAAAAACGATATCCGGGACAAAAAGCGATATCCGGGACGATATCGTTTTTATCTCCCGGTGCTTCCTATACCCGATAAAGGTACAAGTATGTGATAAAAGAATATTTTTTATACATTATCATAACATTCCCTTTATAGGAAACAAACTTTAAGAAAAGGTGTGTGCGCAAGTGTGATTGAAGAGATGAACAGTACGAAGATGCTATATCAAATAGGGTCAGTTCTTTACTTGCTTTACTTCCTACTTTATTTCATGAAGTTATCGGCTGACAACGGATTTTAACCTTTATAATATGCAGTACTCATGAGTGTCAGATGTTGGGATACGAGGTAACCGCGTTACCTGCAAGTGACTGAAGCTAACTGCAAACCTGGGGCAGAAGGTTTTGTAATTGTGCACGCTGGTATAGCAGTATATTTCAATTTTTCCCACCATCTTTTTACAATATTTATACAATAGGTGTCTCTTTTCTATAACATTCTCTTTTATATTTTCAAATTTTGCGTGGTTTGACTATTTTCCTGTTCTATGGCCAAATTTTATTTATGGAACGTCAAGCCGTCAAGCTCTGAGTTATTGCCAAAATTGGCATTCTCACACACAGTTGCTCACAAGGTTTCCCCACTGGACTGGTCTCCCGCCACAACTCACAAGATACGCGGTGAATATACAAGCATGCATTAACTTACCATCTCAGTGTCAGCCTTCTCTTGTGCTGTTGACGACTCTCCTAGAATATTATATAAATTAATAATCAATCCAATCAATCATTACAAAGGTTCAGATGTGACTTCCACTACCGATACCATTAAGGGACTATTAACCAATCGCATGCGTTTCACATATCTGATTAACCAATGAGATGCGAACTAAAGCAGTTAGAGGTAGCAGTGGTAAAAGTCAAATCTGAACCTCTCTAATCTCACTAGACATAAAAGTACATACATAATACAGTCAATTAACAAACCTTTGTCTTCTCCGTTCTCTTGAACAGGTTTTTCGAGGTTTTCATTTTTCTTCCTTTCTGCCGCAAGTTTCTCATGAAGTTGACTAACTTGTTCCCGAAATGACTCGACATATTTTGACGAACTCTCACGTTCAAATTCAGCTTTCTCAAGAAGCTTCTCAGTTCTCTCAAATTTCTTTTTTAATGACTCAAGCTCCTCTCCTAATATTGCAACTTGCTTCTCCAAATCAGAGCAACCTTCAAATAATATCAACCAGCATTTCAGGTTTTGGTGAAAGTCTCTGGAGAATGTTACTGATGACCTCAGGAGGACCATCATGCTAGGGCCTAGGGGGTCCGACGGTATGCCCCCCACCCCAACATATTTTCGAATTTTTATGCTCTGCAATACCATTTCCGGGTATTTCAGGGATGAAATATACTGTACAACTCAAGTTCGTGGGCGCAGTTGTTAAAATGTTCTACTTAAAACACCGACAAATGTTTTAGTTGCTGTGTTCCACAGTTTGATGAAATCCGTAGTATCGAACTTGAAATTTGCATATTGAACGACTCTAACGTGATAAATTTACCATGATGGCAGTCTCATACAGTTGATTGTCGTTAAGAGCGAGCTTACTTTACTGAAAGAGAACTATTTTTCACACAAAATACATGTAAGTATATACAGTAAGCATGTGTTCGGAAATCTAGAACTATTCGTGAGATTTTTCTTTGCTCAGTTATGGCAAAATGCGATTGATACACGGCGAATTTGCTACAAAATTATCTGAACCGCCATAGGAGCCCCAATAGTTAGTGGTACATAATAATTAATAGGCATATAAAGGACTAAAATGACTAAAATACTAAAAATAGTTTAAAATTCAATAAAATTTCATTGTGTTACCGTGAAAATATTCTACCAACTGTTCTTGTAGCCATAGGTGTTACAGTAGTTTAAACCATGCGACGATCGAGCATCGCATGGTTTAAATTAACACCTATAACTACAAAAACAGTTGGTAGAATATTCCAATGGTAACACAATGAAAATGTATTGAATGTTAAACAATTTTAGTCATTTTTATGCCTATTAGCACTAACTATTGGGCCTTCTATGGAACCACTGGCGAAATTCGTCGTTTCGCCGACCTACTGTAAATCTGAAAGATGAACTGCAGCAATCTATATTTATAGAACGCATTGTTCATTGCCAATTTGTCAATTGCCCCAATCAAATTCCATGTGTGATATTGAATGAATGTACAGTGTAATACACATGAGTGTGTGGGTACAGTGGGTTACAGTTTACTTACTGTATACATATGTGAACAAATCAACATTGCCTGGTGGCTCGTGGCAATGGCCAACACAGGGGGGCAAGAAGGGAAACAGCCCCCCCAAATTATTTCTGAAAACCTTTGAATGATAACTGATCGAGTAACAGTGCAATAAAACTAGAAAAATAATTTATAAATTAAGCAAATTTGCATTGGATTAAAAACGTTCAAAGAAAATCAAATTAAATTTGCATCACCATATTGAAGGAACTAGACTGAGTTCAGAAATATTACACACTCAATTAAACTGACTTGACCTTGTACTGAATAGCTGACAGTTCGTAGAGCATTGAACATCTAGCAAACCAAAGGTGGCAGGTTTGATCTCAACTCTTCCTATCATGGCATTCTGCCTTCATGTAGTGGCAGCATACAGTGTATATGGATTGTCGATGATGGCAGACATTTCAGAGAGAGCAATTAGGTTGCCAACATATGACCACTTTTCATATAGCTTGAAATCTTAGTTCTTTAAACTTGATTGCCTTAAATTTCATAAAATATATACCGTAGCTTAATTTATAGCCTACCAAATATCAAATCTGGAAATAAGCATCTGGTCATGGTCATTGACCAGTCAGATACATAATTGTGTCTGTTACTTTGTCCAGTTTGCATTATTCAGCATTTCAACCCTAAACAACATCCTTCTCTTAATCACTCAAAATGTCTCTCTTTTTCCCAAAATTTCCTTCCATTTTTGAGAAAATATACAAAAATAATTGAATTTCCCTGTTACTTAAAGTCTAGATTTAGCTTAAAAGCAAAATATATCAAATTATCAGCAAACTTACATATGCAATTATTTCTATAATATATTAGCAAAATATTATTTCAACAAAATTAAAATGCAAGATTAGCAAAAGCTGCTCTGCAAAAGCTACAAATTTCTAAATACCATTGAACATATAATTATAATATGTAACCTGCATATTGTATCCTATGTTTTTGACGGACAGGTAATACAGACTATGTTTTTTAGGTGACAGGCACAAATGCATTGGTGCTGGTCATTTTGACAGGCAGGCCCCCCAAAAATTATTTAAATTGTTTTTTGTTACACAGTTATTTAGTCATATCACTGAAAGGCTTTCAGATCATCTGACTTGTTGTACCACATTAGTTTGTCTAGATTCTCATATAAGGCTATTGTACAAATGTACAATTTACATGGAATCTATAATGCACATGGTTTGACAGCACAATTAAATTTTGTATAACAGGATATCACTTCTGGAATGACCTAATGAACTGTGATGCAATCAAGGAAATTAGCATACACTAATTGGAGGTGGATATAGTGCTTTCCAACTTTTCATGCAAAAATTTTTCATGTTGGTTGCCCAGCTTACTAAACAAAGCTGTAGTACTGGCAAACACAAAGAAAGGTTTTGTTTAAGCCATTACACGGCTAAAAACAGATTGAACAATGTTATGCTGCCCATGTTGTTCACACTTGTCAACAATATTGAACAATATTGTTGAGCCTGAATCGGGTGTAACAGTATTGTTCAATATTGTTGACAACTGTGAACAATGTGGGCAGCAAAACATTGTTCAATCCTGTTTTCATCAATATTGCAACAACATGATTGTTTTTATGTGTGTGCAGTAAGTTGCGTACATTGTGCCCTGGTGCATCCTACCTTATTATCTTACTCCGTCTAATGCCAGGCAATTTTACCTGTGAAAGGGAGAGTGCATGGTGGTTCACGCTCAACGGCATGGGTTAACAGTGGGTAGAGGTATTCTTTAAAGTTATATTTCAAATTTATAAAATTAGCATATATATCTACTAGCTGTTTAGACTATAAATGCAAATTTGAGTGTTAAGTGGTTTCTGAAATGGTTAAATTCAATGTTCTGATATCAAGTAGGTAATGTAGTCCGTCAAGTCAGTTTGCAGAAGGTGGCACATTTCGACAAGATCTCGGTTGTAAGTGTGACTTTCTTACTGCCCAAGTGTAGCAGAATCAATCAACTTTCTACTTTCTCCGTCTTTCTGTCTTACAACACTACAAATATGAAATGTTAAAACATCTGCTAATCTCTGTCTTCCTACAACTCGATTTCTCCAATTTCTTTAAATACTTCATATATATTTCTCAAATCATTAATAATTCATGAGCAATTCAGCCAATGATAATCACCTATTTGATCACAAGATGCCATTTGGATAACCCGGTGAAACTTGATGAAAGTCACTAGTGTTTTCATCAAATATCTTAATTAATACGCATGCAAAATTACTTGAATAGAATTCCTATATATTCCTATTATATATATTCCTATTCCTATTTTTATGCTTGGTTAAGAATTCTATTCAAATCAGCAAACGAAAACATTCTGTTACGTCTCGATTCATTTGAGAAGCCATATAAACAACTCGAGCTCGTGTCGCGCTCGTGTTTTCATACATTGTTTTCTCGTGTTTGGATATTTATTATTTTTGGTGTCTAGGTACGTACAAATAAAATTTTTAATTTGTCTCACTCGACCGACCAAGTGCACCTTTAGGGATGAAGCTAACAGAAGCACTGAGGTCAGGTGCGCTATATTTTGAAAGAGAATTTGCCCTCGGGTGCACTTCTGAAGTTCCGCCACGTTCTTCGAACTGGGATGCAGTCATGCATGTGTATTTTCCACCCTCTCCAAACTGGACCGTAAACTATCAGACATTCAATATAGTGTTAAACTGATATAAAGGTTTGTCACCTGTGCACGTTCTCTCTGTGTCTGTTTCATTTGACTTTAATACATCACCATTCAGGTTCTCTTTAATTTCATTCGATACAATATTCTCAGCTTTCTCATCAACAACTTGCTCCATTTTGCGCTACAAAACTGTGAATTGCCTACATTTAGACAATAAACAGTATTATTGTTATTCTCTTCAAGAAGTAAAGTCAATTTCTTGGAGATATCCAAACCAATTAGCGGATCTAAACAGCAATATGTCAAAAGCATTTGTTTGAACCGCCATATTTAAAAGTGCTAATCCCCCACCGGGCTTTTATTCCGGGTTAAAATGCGGAAGCGGATGCCGAACGGATACGGGGATAAAATGCGGAACGGAACGGATGAGGATAAAATGGCAAAATGCGGAAAATAAAACGTCCCAAAAAATGTTTTCCAAATATTATTTTGGGATAATGGGTTAAAAATAGTTTTTTCCACACCTTTTCGACCTCTATTTTTCAGAATATTCCTTTTAATATTGAACACGTTCCGCAATTCCAGCATTCCGGGGGCCCCTCTGGGGAGGTTGGGCCTCCTTTCCTTAATTGACTTTTATTTAGGAGATGTTGCACCCCTCAGTAGTTCCAGCCCTGGACAATAGTCAAATGTGCAATATGGGCGCTAAAAGGATGATGGGAATAATCATAGTTTCAAAATAAGGGACCAGTCATAAAGTAAAAGGGGGGCCGGTTGGGCTGGGAAAAATAGGGAGGTGGGTCACTATTTTTGAGCATGGTTGAAGGGGTTGGTCATCGAAAGTTAATTGCAATCATAAGGGTGAGCCATGTCAAAATATGCAGAATTTTTTCAAGGGCATGCATTGTATTAATTGAAATTCATATTATAAAGCACCTTGCAAATTCCATTCACAAATGTAAATAATCATGTAAATATTTTCTCTGAAATTTTGGTTTTCTATACTTAGCCTTTTTTTATTAAAAACGCACCATTACCAATGATCAATGATGAAACAGTGTTTTGAAAACCTAGTTTTTTACAAAATGTGTTCTCAGAATGCTGCAAATGCCATTTCCGGGATTCAATTTAAAAATTTATCCGTGCCTTCGGCAGGAGCCCCCCACACAACCCCACCCCAATATTTCATAAAGTGCTAACTAATTTTCTGATATTATTGTTAAATGTCACGAGCTTTGTGCAGGATGTTTAGTATGATTAAATTAGTATAATTTCTATGAGAGCGTAGTTAAATCACAATTATCGTTAGCGGTTCGGCGTTAGAGCAAGAATATATCAGAAGCAAGTTTTTCACCAATACCTGAGAAGTAGCTGCTAAGTATTTCAGCTATTTCTTCAGACGCAGTTATTTCTCGCTCTTCAAAATCCAATTGTGTTATCTTTTAGTTTTGCTTACATTTCTAGAGCTTAGTTTATTTACAAGGTTCCATGTTTTTTTTCATGTTGCCTTTATTCGATTCAAGATTATTCTTATAATAAGCTTGTTTAGTTTTTTAATTTCATGATTAATGTGATTTCGAGTTTGTCGATATTGATGCCAGATTTTAGGATCATTGGATGTAACAGCTTTCTTTTTTAGGTAATCTCGGTTAAATATCTGGCGTCTTAAATCCTTTGTAATCCAGGGAGATTTTCTATTTCCAATTCTCCTGGATCTAAGTGGTGCATGAGCATTTTTTTCCAGACATCAAACATTTCGTTTGGGTCCTGGGAGCAATAGACACTATCCCAATGGTCCTTTAATTATGAGCCGAAAGATACTGCAGTATGCATGGGAATTTCCATGCAAAAAAAGACCTTTCTGTGTTTAATTGCACCATTTGAATAGCTATTGAGTATTGTAACACAGAATTATTTGGCAACAGAAAAATGGAAAGCTGGTATCTTTCACCTTTCTGAAAGGGTGGGTCATAATTTTTCAGCACCAATTTAAGGGTGGGCTACAAATTTTCAAGCAGCAATTAAGGGGTGGGCTTCCAAAATTGCAGACACCAAATAATGATCCCCCCCCCCTTTTACTTTATGACGGGTCCCTAAGTTTACCATATCGGTAGCCTCGTGGGATACTTTTAGCGACAGCTCGCAATGCAAATGAGGTCTTAAAATATGCCAAATTGGTTGTTAGCGAAACAATTTAAATTTTGAGTTGTCGGGTGTAACACAATGGTGTAACATCACCATAAATAAATAAATTGCATCAGTTCCAAGAGGCACGACTAATGTGTTAGGCGGCTCAGGCCTGTTTTAAACGTCACGCTACTCATGTGCCGAACGCATTAAAAACAATAGATAATGAGATAAAATTCCCCGTTTTATTTAAAATTTAATACTTTTACAATTTACAATAGTTTTTCACGCTGGAAAGTGTTTTTCACTTCTCCTACTTTTTGCACTGTTGTGACGCTGTTGTTACCTCCGCCAGGAGGTTATGTAATCATCTGGGATTGTTACCTCCGCCAGGAGGTTATGTAATCATCTGGGATTGTTACCTCCGCCAGGAGGTTATGTAATCATCTGGGATTGTTACCTCCGCCAGGAGGTTATGTAATCATCTGGGATTGTTACCTCCGCCAGGAGGTTATGTAATCATTTGGGTTTGCTACCTCCGCCAGGAGGTTATTGTAGTAATCAAACAATCTTATTATTATCTTTCCAGTTCCTTACTAAATACACTCAATGTTTCTTCCTGGCGCCCTAATACATGTGTCCTTATATTTTCCCGCCTATTGTAATTTATTCTATCAACTATGTTTAACTGTCAATCACTACATTGTTCTCTTTTCTTTTTTTTTTTAAAACAAAACTCAACGGAATAACTATGACTTGTTCGTTATTGTTCATATCATACTAAAGTTCTATGAAATAAGTCCCGATGGTATTGAGTGACCAAATCTATTTACAGGTCGTTGATTTCTCGTTGATCTTCTTGATATCGGGTGACTTTCTTCTATAAAGTCCTGCATATCATCTCCGACCCTGCTGTCCTGTACATCTTCCACGGTAGTTGACTTCTCTTCATCACTACTTTGTTCGTCTGCAGGTTTGACTACTTTGAAATGAGTCACATTACGGGTGATGGTGCGTCTGCCATTTCGTGCCGTAGCTGTTGCGCCTTTCCTCTCCACGATCGTAAATCGCTCGGGATTGAATCTTGGAGATAACTTGTTGCTTGGTTTCTGTTTACAGATAACAATGTCCCCTTCCTTGATCTTGGATGTTTTGGTATTTTTCTTGGCATCGTAGTACTGCTTATTACTGATCTTCTTCTTGTCAATGTTTTCCTTGGCCTTTTGGTGCTTGTTTACAACATTTTGTGTTGACAGCTCGGGTAGACTTCCTTGCACCTTTCGATTAAATAATAGTTCACATGGAGGTATCTTTGTGGTGGCATGCGGTGTTGAGCGGTAATTTAATAGAAATCTTTGAAGTTCTTGTCTCCAATTCTTTCCCTCTAACATAGAAGTTTTTATCACTTTTCCTAACGGCTTCATCACGCTTTCGGCATTTCCATTACCTTGGGGCCACAACGGAGTGCTTGTTTTCCACTCAATTCCTAAGGCAGCCATGTATCTTTTAAAATCATCTCCATTAAAAGGTGGTCCATTATCAGTTTTAATCTTTTTCGGTATACCATGAGTTGCAAATATGCAGTCTAACTTCGGAATGCAGGCTTTCGCTGAAGTTGACGTAACAATTTCTACTTCTGGAAACTTAGAGTATGTGTCAGTCACGACAAGTAAGTATTGTCCACTGTGTGGTATAGGGCCATAAAAATCGATTGCTAAGCTTTGCCATGGCTCCGTCGCTGTAGGAGTGATTCTCATAGGTTCAGGAGGATTACTTGGACCAACAGCTTGGCAGGCAACACAGTTTTCAACGAGGATCTTTACTTTACCATCCATCCCAGGATACCATATTTTTTCTCTCAATAACGCCTTAGTCTTTTCTATTCCTTGGTGTCCGACATGTCCGAGTTGCGTCGCACGGTCTTGTAGCGCTTTTGGTATAACAATTCTGTTGCCCTTGAGAAGAAGGTCTCCTGTTTTCGTTGCTGTTAGTTCTTCCGCGCACATTTGGTAAGCTTTCAGTTCCACATCCTCCTCCCATTTCCCCGATTTCAAGCATTCTAAAACTTTCTTTAGAATGGTGTCCGACAAGGTGGCTTCCTTGATTTCTTGAAGTGTCATTGACTTTGGTACAGCATTGTTAATGATGTAGTTCACATAATTATCTGCAATCTTTTCTTCGATTGTAGTTTTTCGTTGAATGATGGTAGGATGACGGCTCAGGTAATCGGCTTCATTAATTGTTCCTTTCTTGTAAATCACACGGAAGTTATACGGTTGCAGTCGTAGCATCCAGCGTTCAATACGAGCTGGGGGTTTTGATCTTGGATTATTGAAGATTGCTTCTAGAGCTTTGTGGTCAGTATAAACATCGAATTCAGTACCCAGAAGAAACAATCGGAAATGTTCTATCCCCCACACTAGGCTCAACCCTTCGATGTCAGTCTGTGAATATCGACTTTCGACTGGAGACAGGGCTCTGCTTGCGTAGGAGATAATGCGATACAACTCTCCTGACTTCTCACGTTGTGCTAAAATAGCACAAATTCCGAGCGGGGATCCATCAACAATAAGCAAGCTTCTCTTCTCTGTATCAAAGTATGCCATGGTAGGGGCATGTGTCAGTTTCTTTTTAATCTGCTCAAAGGCTCTTTGGTGGGTGTGGTTCCAAGTAAAAACAACACTTTTCTTTGTTAGATCCCGCAATGGTGTAGTAATTACGGCGTACTCTGGCACATACTCACGACACGTGTTCGCCAAACCCAAGAAACTACGTACTTCGCTGGCATTCTTCGGAGCACTGACTCTGACTAAGTTGTCAATTCTTGCTGGATCTGGTCTTGTTCCATTTGCCGTAAAAATTAAACCGTAGAAATTAATTTCGTCGCGCAGGAAACTACACTTCTCAGGTTTCGCTTTTAAGTTGAGTTGAGCCAGTCGTTTCAAACAGTTCTCTAATGATTCGTCATGTTGCTTTCGCGTTTTC